CTTCTGAGTTCAAGCTATCATGACCCCACTACATGTCATAGTCGACCACTTTCACAATACTCACCCCACCTTTCATCCACCTTTGTGTCTGTCTCTTTTACATCTTTGAAACACTCTTCTGTCCCCCCCCCCCCNCGAACTTTCTTCACTTTGGTGTTCCTTCCCCTCTGTGAAGCCTGAAGTCAACTAAAGGGCTAATGATAACCAACAAAATGGCTACCATTTGATATAAATAAATTGGATGGAAATGTAGGGGAAAAGCGGGAGTCAATTAATCGGGAGAATCACGGTATACGTGAGCTCAAAACAATTAGATCGATCGGTTTTCCCTATCGGAGTTTCCTCAAACCTATTCACTCATTTCATTATCCTCATCATCGTTAGAAAAAAAACTCGATAACATGATTTCATGAGATTTCGAAGCTATTCTCTTCCAACTTCTACTGGACGAAAGTTTATTAGTTAGAAAATCATACCCAAGTTAGTGGTGATCAACCCACCAGTCTGTCTGATGGCCCTTGTTCACACCTGTCAATTACGATTGACGTTCAGTAATGCGCCGAATAGGACTCTTAGCAGCATCCATCATCCTAATTTTACCTTCTTTAAAGCTAAAAATTTGTTTAACATCCGTTTGAAGATGCCTTCATCAACTCCTTGAGCATAGATATACCCCAACTTCTTTATCGAATTCGGAAACTAAGGGCTATAACGAGCGATCTGAAAACAGAATAAACTGAACTGCAATAAGTTCATAGAAATTCCAAAGTGATTAATTTTCTGATAGCAGTCACCATGAAGATTTTCAATTTCGTAATTACCAATTAATATCGATACAGGTATAAGCACCTTTCAACGCTATTCTCGTCATTGGAAAACTCACATTAAACTACTGTTCTCATGAGTGGTAATAGGCGTTATTGCTGCGTGTCGATAAGAGTCAAATTAATAACACCGGTCTAGTATTGGTATATCTTGACAGCTAAGACACCACTTGTTATGTTATTCTTTCATGCAGCATAGTATCGTTTTTAATACAAACCTTACTTTTACTCATAGTATAACCTGAAAGATCTTCCAAAAATAACTTTCTTGTCTGGTCAATTTAATGAGCTCACCGAATATCGACCTCCGAAAAGCTGTATGGATTCAGTTACCAGATAACAGAAATCTCAATCCCCTGCCACATCATCCGGAATTAATAAAGAAGTAGATCAAAACCCTTCCACAGATAAACGTTACTCCCGATTTAATAAATTGGTATTGAGGAACGATATTAACTTAAAATTGAATAAAATTTTGCAATTCATTTCTAAAAGAATTCCCTTCCGTTTAGTGTCATCTCCCCCACCTATTGGTTCTTGTTTTTTGCTAAGCTTATAAAAATTCCCTTTAAACTAAATTATTTCCATTTTGCTTAATTCAAATTAATTTCTAATGAACAGGAAAAGATGCATAAAATAAAGACGATGAATTATAGGTCTTAATTTATTTTGTCAAGGCACAATGCTATCTAAACAGGAATAAAACATAAATCACAGCTGAATGAAAAAAATACGGCGTATTGAAACAAGAAGTGGTGATTGAAGCGGAGATGAAGATGAATCAAATAACTAGACAGTCTTACGTTGCTCTTCATGTGAGCGTTGCCAAAAGACAAAGGAAATGGCTCCGGTGTCCCATGCACCCTTCAACACAGTATCCTCCAAAGCCTTTCGATTATACGCATGGTGCCATACGGAGAGATCACAATTACAATCAGCTTCTGGAGGCGGTGGGCGGGTCTGAACTCGATTCACACATCGACGACACTTGAATCTAAGAAGGAAGTAGAAGATTTCCCTTCACTAGTTTCGTCCCCTTAAAGCATTTCGCGTCACATACATTGTTAATTGACATTTAGGAAAAGTTATGGAATCTCAAAACTGCCATAATAACTATAAATTATAAAAATAAAGGTCTGCTAACTCGTTTAGTTTCCAAGTATTCGTTATGATAGGATATGCATATTTTAAGAGAAATAAATAAGCACTCCTGATGATTAAATAGTTGAATAAAATTAAATTCATTCGGGTGAACTTAATAGGTGGCTTTAGTTTTAATTTATTTATTTATTTCAAATGGCAGGCTTTATGGTATTTATCATTAGCCCTTAAACTTCTTTCTTCAGCTTACCCCAAGGGTGGGGGGTACATTTGTAGCAGTTAATTAATAGCAGTTCACTAGCTGTCTTCTTGCTTCCCAGTATCTCTGGCTTTCCGTCCTTGTCTTCTCCATTTCCACCTGAAGGTTACATAGGGGTGCGCGAGAGACTTACCTCCAGGTGGTGCACCCTAGACAACGCATCTTCGTACGGCAAAAAAGTCTATCACTCGGCATTTGAGTTGACTTCTATTATTATGATTAGCTTTAGTTTAAATTAGAGTGATTTATCGGAGGCGAAATCATTATACAAGCCAAATTGATACATATTAAAGACAAACAGATAAGATTCTCCAACTTTCACTGATATTAAAGACAATACTACCATCCATTTACTAGGAAACTGAAAGCTGAAAATTTAACGCAATAATGCTTACCTGTCATGAGTGTCAGAGTCAGTAGTGTTATGATAAGCAAATAATTCCCGAAGTTCTCCTAAACTGAAGTGTCTCTCAACTTCTTCCGCTTGATCCACCACACAGCTGCTTAGTGCCTTCTTATGCGCCTGTCTTTGAAGCATCTTCTCCTCTATTGTTCCAGTCTATGCCACAAAGGTAATTAGAGAACAAATAAACGTACAGATATCAGACGATATATGTAGCACTGCTTCTTCTGCCCATCCCGCCATACACGAGCCATTGCTTGTTCATCATTAGCAGGATTCCAATCAGGATCAAACATCACAAGTCGATTCGCACCTATCAAGTTCAATCCACAGCCACCCGCCTTACTACTTAGCATAAATACAAGCTCAGACGACTAAAAGAAAATGCTCACGAATTAATAACTACTTAAAAATAGGAAGTAGAAAGTTTATTTCGATTAAACCCACAGTAGGATCATTGAATCTTTCCACAATTTTGGCTCTCTTTTTGATGGTCATGGTGCCATCAAGTCGAAAATAACCGTAACTAAAGAAAAAAGAAAACGAATACTCAGGGAGTACCTCCTGTGCTTGCAGAGACCCTCAAACAAATCAAGAGTTTGAGTGTAATTTGAAACAAGGACGACCTTGTCATTCGAAGTTGCTTTTACGATTGCAAGGAGGCAATCTAAGACTTGAAATTTGCCTATACGAAATAATTTAAACGAGACTTAGGGAATTCTACCAGATAGTTCAGCCTGTGGTGATTTATTTGTATCTGCCGAGCTAGCGTAACCAGGGGGAAACAGATCTATCATTCCACCAAAACCATCCGAGCCCGATTGAATTTTATCGAAGATCAAGTCGGGATCTAAAGTAACAAACTGATAAACAAGATAGGATAGAGATTCTTACGATTGCAGAGCTTCTTGAGATGGGTGATAGATGCCAAGCTGGATATTGAAAGCTTCTTTTCCCCTCCACTGTTAAGATGCTGGACAACTTCACGAGACTTTCTTTCAACAAATTTAGTATAAATTTCACCTTGAGTTTGAGCCAACTTGCAGCAAACAACTTGTTCAACTGAAATGAAAGCGTACGCACACGTACACATAAACACAAAAAATACTTACAGAATAACACAACTTACTTTTAACAGGAAGATACTGCGTCAATAGAGATTGTGTCCTTCGAATAATACAGCGCGTAACGATGGCAAGGAGCTAAAGCATCAAGAAATAGAATGGCCGTTTAACTAACCTCTCGAAGTTTTTCTTCTCCAACCAATTGCTCAGCATCTGTAGCGTCTGCATCTCTACTACGTAAAATGGGGATTTCAAATTTTCTACGGAATTCGGCTGCAGTACCAAGTAGGCCCACATTAACAAAGTGCACCAGACTAAAGTACTCCAACAGGTCGTTTTGAATGGGTGTTCCAGATAAAAGAACCCGTCTTTGGCAGTTCAATTGAACCAATGCCTGATAAGTCTGATTTTCGGAGTTCTTTAGACGATGACCCTCGTCGCAAATAATCAGTCCTACTGTTCCTCTGTGCAACTCCCCCACATGTAACCGGAAGGTTTCATAGGAGATTATCAGAATCGGGGTAGCTATGCGTGGAGGTCGTTGGGACATAAACTGAGCCAGATTCCGATCAATTTCAGCCTTTGATCCCGAATCGATGGCTAGAGGGTTCACCCGACCATGCAACCATTTACTCAACTCGTTTGCCCAGTTCTTCACAAGACTACTGGGTGTCACGATAATTGCTTTATCAATCATTGGTTTCGCCTCAGGACTTTGGCGCTATCAACGGATATTAACATGAAAAGGAAAATAATATCACTACCAGTAGGGTCCAAACCAGAGTAATGCATTGAAGTGTTTTACCAAGACCCATTTCGTCCGCCATAATACAGCCATAATTATCTGGAATCCTCAAACCAGTAACACAATCATACATGAATTTAACACCCTAGGGAAGCATGCATTAGTGTCTTACATTCAAAGTCCTACTTCTCGTTGATGGGGACGCAGAAACTTGGTCAGAGATGGATCGACGACCACGTGAACTAATTTTTCGCTAAAACCAAAAGCAAATTTCAACTTTTGCAAGTAACCACATACGCGTCAGATTTTAAGCTTTCATGGACATTTAATTCAGGAGGCTCATACAAAACAAGTGCATTCTCCTCAAACGGATCATGCAGCGCCACTTTGGCGGACGAACGTTTAACACCCAAACATTTGGACTCGTATCCACTAGCTAAATGCACATTAGTATAGCCAGTGAACATTACGCTTATAGTTTGGAATTGGTACTTTGAATGGCTTCGTTAGAATAGAGCGAATCAGGGCTTCCTGTGAGGCAGGTTATTTTAGAAGGATAAGTCTACGTACATGAGCAATACTTGCTTGAGGAGATAAATCGGGTTGGTTAACCTCTTCAAATGGTTTCCTATATATCGAAAGGTAAGTTCTTGGAGAGTAGTCCGATATTTCACATGGGCTTCCAATGCTTCGTCGTTTAGAGGGAGGCTAAATGTCAAATTAAGTATTCGAACAAACCTCTTTGTTTGTCATAGGTGCGATCACTCGCACGTTCGCCTGACTTGGAGCAAGACTTCTACGCTAGAGAAGCGTCAAAAGTGCACACAACTTACCATTTCTACACTTTTTCAAATGTCCCCCAACATCAACTATTCGGCATCACTGGTGCATGAAAACAAAGCTGTCAGTGGGCCAAAAAAATAGTTTCGTGAATATAAAGTTGTGTTGAAGGCTATAAAATGTTATTTTGCTTTCGTTTTGAAATATATTAGTTGATGATACAATATATGCCTTTGCAGATTTTTGAGTATATATCAAATTAGTTTTGCAGTCAAAACATAAATTTTAGTTTGAGAAAATTTAAATTTCGTACCCTATTATGTTGATAACAAAAAATCATTCTTGTTTCAAAATTATCTTCCACTTGCATAATGATTTCACAGATTATTTATTCCTTGTATGTATGCTTTAATTAAATGCAATAATGCTTGCGGTACTGAGCACATTTTCTCGATTCATCTGAAGTTGCATATCTGGTAAAATGATCGACATTTATAGTGATTAAATAGGATTCGAATTTCACTTGATTCAACGATTTCATCAAGTGTTACCATTCATGACTTTGATCTTTAGATGTGCAAACAGGTGACATTGTAGCAGTGCTTAAAATTTAGATTTCCCGATATGCATTCAGGTTGACGCCGAAAGCCTCCACGATTCTGAACAAAAATGAGGATTGGTTTAGAGCCAGTTACTCATCAGAACGACACTTCGTTAATTATCATCCCCCTTTTTGGTAACTGAGTTTGGAAAGTTCGTTACGCAGCGAAAATTCGTTTGGCTCAAATGCCACAAGTATTGCTAGTCATCCCATTGAAATTATGTCATCCACCCAGAATGAGTTGCTTGTGTGCGAACGTCGTTCAACAAATTTAAGGTAGATTGAAAAATAGATAACCATCTGTTTTTGAGGCTAGTTAATAAAATACTTTACTGAAATTCTCTACTTACTTCAAATGACTGACCCTGTTTGAATCAGCATTTACAACATTAACTTCGAAATCATTCATTGAACGCATATTCCCATATCGTAAGGCAAGGCTTTCATATTAATCGCATGAGGTAGCAGTTTTGATTGTCATTAATTCGTGTGAATTCGTCTGTTTAAGTTGTCATTCAATAGTTAAAAATCTAAAGTGTATATTAATGTTCTGCAAACTCCTTACATACGTTCTTTGGTGCATTCGTTTCAGATTAGAAAGTACAAAGTACAAAAATCTATTAGCTATAATCAGCATACTCTTCGGAACTCTCTTCGATTGTTGACTTTGACATCGTGCTTGAATGGCCAGATTTCCAGTATAGCTTCAACTGAAGTGATATAGTTTGGTAGTATTGAAAAGCAAGTTAAAAAATATCGCTTCGTTTTTTGGGAAGGCGATTTTTGATTATGTTAAATTTGAGAGCGTAAGGGTTTTATGTTTATGATCTTGTATGGATAACAACAGTATGCTTGAAGAATTTGTGAGGAATGTGTTGCACGAGTAGCAAACTAATTTATTTCAAAAATATACAAATGGAAAAAGCACCTGTTTTTCGATAATTGAATAAAATAACTTAGTTCATTTCCATAATAATTGTTCAGTAAAAGCAAATATGATTGCTTTAACGGGGTGTGCGATAGACTTACCTCCACGTGGTGCACTCTGGGCAACGTATACTCATACGGCAAAAAAGTCTATTAGCTGGCAGTTGACTTCTCACTTCAAACTACCATCACCCCACTGTATGCCATATTCGACTACTTCCGCAGTACTCACCTCACCATTCTTTCTACTTTTATATCTGTCTCTTACATCATTTTTGAAATACTCTTCTGTTCCCCCTCTCAACTTTTTTTCATTTTGAAGTTCCTCCCCTTTGTGAAGCCTGAAGTCAATTAAAAGGCTAATGATAACTATCAATTCGCCTACCATTTGATACAATGATTGCTTTAACTGAGAGTTTCATCACTTTTGAGCAACATTGCATCACACCTTCGGCAATTAATAGCATAAAATATCGTTGAAGCGAAACGGCCTTCTGTTCCCCATCCATCGACTTTCTGCTACTTTGATGAACCTTCCCTCTTTGAAGCCTGTTGTCAGCTAAATGGCTAATGATATTTATCAAAACGCCTGCCATTCGAAATGAATAAATTTTACCTCTGCTCCATAATAACCGTCAATTGGGAAGAAATTCAAAATTTCCACCCTTTTTATTAGAACAATTTTTGAAATCAGTATTTCATTCCG